CACCGGTTGGGGCATGGTGTGTAGTGGGGGGTAGACGGTGGTAGGATGATGCCCCCAAGGCAAGCGATGCCTGCAATCTGGCTTTATTTTATGCGCAGAGCGCGCTTAAAAATGCAGTCAACGTCGTCGTCGTCGTCGTCGTCGTCGTCTCCTCCCTGGATGGGGCGCAGACGGAGACAGGAACCTGCCGCTTAGGCGAATGCCTCACGGGCCCCAAAAAGGCAAACGGCCCGACAACAGCGGCACTGGCAGTGGCAGTGGCAGCAACAAATGGCATTAAAAGTGAGAGAATTAAGTTAACGAATGTGTTGATACCCTTGTGGCAGAGTTTGATTGCAAGTTTCTACATAACGGACAGCTGGCTTTGCTTTCATGGGTAAAGAACATTCTTAGATGACTCGAATTGTGTGGATATATACAGCTTTTGATGAAGATTTCCATAGGAAAACTAATTCCAGGCGGAAGCTATAAGAAAAACTGTGAAAGTGCATGCCCGTCCATGGGAATATCACCAAAATGTACTCGTATTTAAGAAGAAATTGAAGAAAATAACAACAGAAAAGTTACTTTTGCGAGCGATCAGTCAGGGAATATGCACCAGCAATTGTTGTTGCATTGCCAAACGACTGTGACTACCCATCGCACTCCCAGAGCAAGGGTATCAGCCAGCAAGAGCGAGTGTGAGAGGGGTAAGAATTCACTGCATCCTCCCACTTTTTGCTGCTGCCTCAAGATGCGGCCTATTATGTAGTTGTTGCCGCTGTGTTGCTCCTCTGCTGCTGCTGCGGCTGCGGCTGCTGTTGTTCCCCAATCATTAAATGCGTTTTTCATACAGGAGTTTTGTTTTTTTATGCGGGAGTTTTGAGGCGGCGGCGACTGCCGCTGCGCGATTGCTGATTTATGAAGCAGCAAATGAGTTGCGCGAACATCGAACAAGGAGAAACAAGAGCAAGAACAAGGCATTGGCATACACAGACAACACAGCATACACAAGAGGAATGAATGAATGTATATCAAATAAGTATACACCCACACTTCCGGCTGTAAATTGAATTGAGGGCGTGGCACACGATGCGAGAGGAGGGAGCCAGAGGGATGGCTGTGCTGGTCAAGGAATGTTGCACCCCATGTAGCCTGACTGAAAACGTAATTATGCGCATGTTGCGCTCCACGTTTTGTGGCCAAACATCAAAGTGGCACACAGACGAGAGAAGACGGCAGAGAGAAGACACTGACGACAAATCGTTGAAAGTTACAGTTTAAGTTGCAGCAGCAGCAGCAGCAGCAGCGACAGCAGCAACAGTTTGCTGCCAATCACCGCAGTCAACCAACAGCCAGCCAGCCAGCCAGCAACCAGAAGCTGCAGATAATCAGAATTCCAGCCAGATTTTCACCTGTTGCCGCTGCTTGCTGTGTGCTGCTGTTGCCTTCTCTTGACATGTGCCGCACATGCCGCGCGGCCATTTGTCTGCAGCACTTTAATGATGCGCCACCACTGTCGACTCTCGACTCTCGACTCTCGACTCTCGACTCTCCACTCTCCACTGTCGACTGGCATCTAACTGCAACTCACTGAGAGTCACCGTTGCAATCACGTGCAACATCTATGCGCATAGTTTAGCATTTAGTATTTCACATTTACAATTTATGGGAACTGGGGATGGTCGGCTACTACCACCCCGGACCTAGGTCCGGGTTCTCCGAATGCCTTGCCCTTACGATGTCCGGCAAAACATTGCAAATTTCCATGTTGAATATCAATTGGTTATAAGTAGATGTGTGATGGGCAGCTGCGGCCCAGTTTAGTAGTCCACCAGAATGCCACAACGAGCGTGATGCAAGCTCTGAAGAAGAGCGGACCCGATCCGAATCACAAGCTGGAGCTGGCGTGGCTGAATAATACGCTCTTTACGATCCTCCATGGGTTGTGGCAGAGTTTCATTTCTGCTGTTTCCGGCAGCGCTGGTGCTGACCATCATAGGGATATCCGGCGGCGCACATCGCCTGTGGGCACATAGCACCTTCAGGGCGAACAATGCGATGGCACACATCCCGTGTGGGGTTGGGGCGACAAGGATCAGCCGCAGGAGGATGTGGACAGCACCACCATTACGCACAGGCGCAAGGAAACTGCAGACGACAGTTGAATTTCACTGGAAAATTATCCCTAAATCGAAAAGTACATTTTAAATAAATTCTAAAATAAATTAGAACAGTTCTAGAATTAGAACTGGGAAATTTTCAGCACACTCTTTTGGGTTCTACATTTAGAGGTTTACCCTCTGTGCTTTGACTTGCATTTGAAATGCAATTTGCACAGCAATGGGCGGCTACAATATCAAACAGGTGTGTTCCCAGCGATCCGCAGGGAAAATGGCAAACAAATCTAACAAATTGACTTCTGGCCTCCCCCCTTCGATTCGTACTTGTCACTGGGAAAATTTGCATTTTCGATTCGGCAAAGGAAAAGGCAAAAAAAAAGCAAAATAAAGGCGAAGGTGCCAGCCAGCCAGCTAGCACACAGCGGGGGCTCAGCGGCCCCACACAATGAGCCAGAGAGAGAGAGAGTCCAGGCAGAGACCTCGCCTTAACTAGAAACTGTAGTTTGTGTGTGTGTCTTTTTTTTATAGAGAATTTATGGCCAAGTGGCATTTGAGAAATGCCCCAGCCACAGCCACACTAATTAGTTTGTATCGCCACAGAGAGAGGGGCAGGGCAGGGATTGATGCTGCAGGCAGTGGCATAATTTAGGTAGCAAATTCCTTGGCCACAACCTAGAGAACGCCCCCACACAGAAAACCGCAACGAAAAGAGGCAACTGCGGTTGATTTCCTGGAAAGAGTTCATAGCTTTGGGCCATGCTAATATCTCAAGATGCAGAGACCGAGAGAGACCGCGAGGAGACCCTTCCTGGAAGATCACTAAATAACCCGAGGGAAAGCCAATGCCTCATCAAACACATTTGCATAATTGGACAGGGGAGAGAGACAGCCGAAGAGAGTGCAAGAATAGTTGGCGCTGAAACAACATTTCAGTTTTTGATTAAAAGATTTCAATTTTAAGAACTGAAAGCTGAAATCAAAACCGAATGCAGCCAGAAAGAAAGCAGCGGGGGCGTCGTCAACGCCTGGCCATCCGAATGGATCCGGAACTGAAGCGGAAGCTGCTGCCCTTTCATGTGCGTGCCTTGGGTGTGGTGGAAAGGAGTCTGGGGTGAGCTACAGATATCCATAGAGCATAAAACCCACTGCTAATGGAGTTTTATCTCGGCCTATCCCAAAAAGTTCCCCCTTGGCCTATGAGGCGCAGCTGCTGCGACCCGATGTGGAGAACACAATGACGTGAGACGGAGCAGCAGCCACCCACCACACTGATGATCTCTAATCTAACATTTCTCTAGGGATCTGGAGACCTTCATCAATTTGGTCAAGTGTGCCTTTGGCACGGGCTGCCTGGCCATGCCACGAGCCTTCTACAATGCCGGTTGGGCTGTGGGTTTGCTTGCCACCGTTCTGATTGGCTTCATTGTGGTGTATGCGATGCATGTGCTGGTGGGTACAGGCAGGGAAGCCTCTCTTTAACCTTTCTCTTAACTCAGTTCCGTGTCTCCCAGTTGAATGACATTCAGCGTTTGTGTAGACGCCATCGAATGGCTGTGCTTAGCTACAGGGAGACCATGGAATTGGCACTGCTGGATGGACCCACATGGCTGAAATCCATGAGCCAACCACTGGGGTTAGTTCAATGAATCCTGCAGCATTTATTCATATTTAAAACTCAATTCTTCAGCTACTTGGTGGACATATTGATGTGTGCCTATCATTTCGGCGTGGACTGTGTTTACATTGTTTTTATAGCCAAAAATCTCAAATTTCTGGGGGATCTCTATCTACATTCCTTGGATCTGCGGCTGTATATGGCACTGCTAACCCTCCCACTGATGCTCACGTTTCTTGTGCGAAATCTCAAGTATTTGTTGCCATTTACTGTCATCTCTAATATCCTCATAGTCGGCAGTGGGTGTTGGATTAGCTCTGCAATATCTATTTCCCTTAATTGTTATGTTACACTTTCCCCTTAGGCTTTGGCATCATTGTGTGTTACCTTTTGGAGGATTTGCCCAGCTTGAAGCAACTGCAGGCCACACAGCACTGGACGCAGTTTCCTTTATTCTTTGGCACTGTGCTGTTTGCCATTGAGTCTCTGGGTGTTGTAGGATCATCTTTGGAAGATACAGTTCTATGCCCAATTAATTTGTGTGTTTGTTTTCCCTCCAGATCTTGGCTCTGCAACGCAGCATGCGTCATCCAGAGAACTTTCTGGGCTGCTGTGGTGTGCTCAATCGTGCCATGATCTTTGTGATTCTCTTCTATGCGGTGTTTGGATTCTTTGGCTACTGGCATTATGGCACTGAGACGGCCAATTCCATACTGCACAATCTGCCAGCAAATGAAATGTGAGCTGGAGAGACATAGATACAGTTTCCTCATGCCTTTCTCCCTTTGTTCCATAGCCTCCCACAGTGTGTAATGGGAATGTTTGCCCTGGCCATGTTCTTCAGCTACGCCTTGCAGGGCTACGTCACCGTGGACATCATTTGGCGGGGCTACATGCAGCCCAGACTGGAGGAGAATGTTGCCTCTGGCCGAGCCGTGGAGTATCTGGTGCGCTGTGCCCTCGTCATTGCCTCTGTGCTGGTGGCCATTGGCTATCCGGACTTTGGTCTGTTGCTCTCCTTTGTGGGCTCCTTCTGCCTCGCCCAATTGGGTCTCATCCTTCCGGGCATCGTGAACATGTGTGTGCTGTACAGCAAGGGCTATGGCTATGGCAGGATCCTGCTCTGGCGTTCCCTGTTCTTCCTGGTGCTGGGTTTCTGTGGCGGCATCACTGGCACTGTGATTTCGCTGAGGGAACTCAATGAAGGGTATCCCAAAGTGAGGTGACAATGTAGCAGCATATCATTTTTTATTCATCATAACACATTGTTTTGTTACTCTACAAAATAAACTATAAATTTCATTTTTGTACCATCAAATGGCAGACAGGTAGAGGATGTTTTTGGTGTATATTTCTGTTGATTTTTGTTGGTATAATATTCTAATTGCAGTGGCTACAATCCCTATGAGAATCGCAATGTGGAAGTGCCAATATCGTAAGTAATCCTCGCACTCTCCATGGCAGTTTAATAAACATCATTTCTGCTTCTCCCAACAGCAATGTGGGCGCCTTTGTGTCCTTGCTAAAGTGTGTCATTGGCACGGGTATCCTGGCGCTGCCGCTGGCCTTTGCCTACACGGGTTGGCTCAATGGCTCAATACTGCTTATTCTGATTACAGTATTGCTCATCCATGGCATCACTTTACTGGTGAGTAAACCCACAGCAAAACTCTACAATCCCTCTGCACTGTTGCTCCTTTTGCAGATCATTTGCATGGTGGAATCCGCACGACGGCAGCAGCAGGGTTACTGCAACTTTCCCGACACCATGGAATATGCCTTCAATCAGGGCCCGAAGTGGTGTCGTTATTGTGCCAAGGCTTCGGGCTATCTCGTGGACGGTGTCCTGGCCTTCTCCCACTATGGCGTTTGTGTGGTTTACATCGTTTTTGTGTCGGTGAATATCAAACAGCTGTCGGACTACTATATCAAGTTGATCGACCTGTGGATCTTCATTGTGTTTGTGGGTTTGCTCTCCATACCGCTGTTTCTCATACGCCATCTCAAGTATTTGGTGCCCTTCAATCTGGCCGCCAATATTGTGATGTATCTGGGCTTTGTGCTGATCTTTTACTATCTGTTCCAGAACCTGCCACACATCTCGGAGCGTGATGCATTCAGGGAGCCCTCGAAGCTGCCGCTCTTCTTTGGCATTGCTCTGTTCTCCGTGAGCTCTGTGGGAGTGGTGAGTGGAGCACCAAAGAGATCCTTGATACGGCAACGAACTAATCACCTTTCAATCTCTAATCAATAGATGCTCGCCATTGAGTCCAAGATGGAACATCCGGAGAAGTACATTAGCTGGTTTGGTGTCCTCAATTTGGCCTCTGTTGTGGTCGTCATTTCGTATCTGGTCTTTGCCATCATGGGGTACTGGCGCTACGGGGCGACGGTGCAAGGCAGTGTCACCCTCGATTTGCCCAATAATGAAATGTGAGTGCTCATCGCGACACAATCTCATGGCCCTAGTAATCCCCGATAGTCCCGCGCAGGTATCCAAGGCATTCATCAGCATGGCCGTCTTCCTCACCTATCCCCTCTCTGGCTATGTGACCGTGGACATCATTATCAATCATTATCTGAACCGGAACCAGCAGCTGAAGCATCCGCATGGCGTCGAGTACATTGTGCGGCTGTGCTTTGTCCTCGTGTGCACCGTCAATGCGGTGGCATTCCCCAATTTGGGGCCACTGCTCGCACTCGTTGGGGCATTCACCATCTCGCTGCTGAACCTCATCTTTCCGGCCTGCATTGACTTGTGCCTCAACTATCAGGCGCCCTACACCTACGGCCGACTGCGCTGGAAGCTCATCAAGAATATTGTGATCATCATCGTTGGCTCTGTGATCCTGGTGTATGGCTGCATCCTGGCCATCATGGACATGATCAAGGAGTATGGCGGCATCAAGTAGAGAATGATTAAAGAGTTTGAGCTGCCTTCGACTTGTAACACATTCATCGGTGGCTGTAGGCTGTAGGCTGTAGGCTGTAGTCTGCGGCGCCATTCGCCATGTTAAAGGTCAAGTGCAACACTCCACCCACTGGGCACAGGGCAGTGGGCAGGCAGACAGAAGGCTGCTCTTGTGTCTGCAGGTGTCACAAGGGGGCAGCCACAGACCATTATCGATGACGTTGTTGCATTGGCATTGGCATCGGCATCGGCATTGGTCCGGTAATTCCCTCATTAGGTGGCCAAAGAGTCTGGAAGCTGGACGTCTGGGCAGCCTGGGCAGTGCCCGGCATGTGGCATGGGGCTTGTGGCATGTGGCATGCAACCTGCTCTCGCTCGAAGAGCCTGTTTTGTGGCACTCGTCAGCCCACTTAACGATGTGCTCCGGAATTTATGCCGATATGGTAATGCATCTGTACGCTGGGACTTGCCTCGGAGTCGTCTCCGGCCCACTGCCTGCTGCCTGCCTGCCTCATTATGCCATTGATGGACTGCAGTTGAGCATTTGTTGGATTGCGTAATTTATTGTTTTGGGTCTTTTGGCTTGATAAACTGGTGTTTGCCGATCGGCTGCCCCCATGGCACTGCAACGTTTCGGATTCCCGATGCCACTCTGACCAAAAACGGTCAACGAGGTCTTGTTTGCCTGTCTGCCAGTCATTTGTGTGTTGCATTTTTTGCCAACGCCTCCCGACAAATCTCACTTTCCGCCAATGTCCGCGTACAAATCCGCCGGGGGATTGTGTCCATCGGTGTGGCATCTACTCGTATCTGTGGCACTCCAACGTTTATGGCTCTAATTAGCTACGCAGGCAGCATGCAAAGCAAAGCCAAAGCAAAAGCAAATCGAAGCCAAAAGAAAAGCTGATTCAATCTCTGACTCTGCTGGAAGCTTTTGGCCTAATGATTTCCACTGAATTGTGTGTGTGCTGGGCCAGCCCATGGAACGCATCGAATCCCTCCCAGCAGCTGGAAGTTGCCTGCGTGAAGTTCAAGAGGTTAAGCAGCAGAAGAGTGAGAGCGCGTTCTGCGTATGCAACTGCAACGGCGACTGTGATTGCAACAAAAGTGCAACAAATCATCTCCCGTAGCTCCCCACACCCAGCCACAGCTACAGCTACAGCTCCAGAGAGAGGAAGGGGGAGAGGAAGAGCGCTGCCTCGTCTCGAGGCCAACCAATTTGTGTTCCGTTGCTTTGCCGTTTGTATAAATCAATTGGCAATGAGACGATGCGATGCCGATGCCGATGCCTTCTACTTATTCTTGGAGACGCGACAACCCGCTGTGCGGTGTCTATTGGCATGGCCATCCTATAAATCGCTGCGCCCTCTGCACCATCTCCCGGTCTCTAATGCGTTATTGGTGTGTGTGTTTTGGAATATGATTTTTCCACTTGTTTCGAGTGTAGCTCGAGTGCGAGGTGTGCCTGTGCCTATGTGCCGGAGTGTACGTGATTGGTCTATAAATTATTTGGTTTATTGCAGCCCAAAGGGTACTGCAACGCCACCTCCGCCCCCGTTTTGCTGCGACACTGATGGATTACTCACGCTGCCCAGCTCCTTATCAGCCACTCCCTCGCCCGTCCTCTAAATATTTGCTTCCTTTTCGATATATTACGTACTTGAGCGTGTTTCTGATGTATTTGCCTCGCGACTTTACTTTCAATTTCGTTTTCAATTTTCAGATCAACAGCAACAGCAAGCAACGCCTCGGAATTTGAGTTCGATTTTTGTTAAAATATTTGCACAACTTAAGGGTCAGTGGAATGACAACACAACGAGCGGAAGGGAGGGAATGATGACAGGCAGGGGCACCACCGATAAAGGCCTTGACCTGTGGATCACCCACCAGACAGAAGTACGAGCGAGGTGTGTCGATCATTTCAGTATTTAATTCTACCTTAATTCATGGTTTTCTTCTACATTTCAGCCATGAATGAATGAAAACCCAAAATCCTTCTATCTATGACACAAATGCCAGCCAAATACCAAGTGGCTGCAACATTAAAGTGCAACAAGCATTGAACAACAGTAATAATATCAGCGGCATTAATATTAATTAAATAAACGTTAATTCAGCGCATTAATGCGTAATAAATAATGCTCTTTTGAGGCAGGAAAAATTAATGCATAAAACGCTACTTATCGCTGCCCGATTGGCACGATGCATCGATGGAGCGATGCCGCCGCCATGCCATGCCTTGCCATGCCACGCCACGACACGACACGACACGCCACGCACTTATCTGTGTCAACACAGAGAGCTGCAGCACATGGACGGGGCCCAAGCCTGACAAACGCATTGTCAATAGCCTATAGATCCGCCTCTGGTCTGCATTGAAGTTGGAGCTGAGTCGGAGTCAGAGTTTGGAATCGTTTGTCGTTGGTTGGTTGGTTGGTTGGTTGCTTGGTTGGTTGGCGCGTTGCAATTACATGTCTGTGACAAGAATTTTAAATGAAAATCGCTGCGTAGTGCACTGGACAAATGATTCAAACTTTCGCATTACGTGTGGAAAATGTTTAAAACTCTGCAGAGAGCCGCACAGAGCCACAGACTAGTCGGATTCAATCTCAATGGAGGCAGGCGCCATGCTCCATGCAGCGGCCAAGCTGTGTGTCCGAGTACGAGTACGAGTCGGAGTCGGAGTCGTAGTCGTAGTCCGTGCTTTTTGTGCGCTTTGCATGCCCAAGGAGCGGAGGAGCCGTGCCTCTGGCGACGCGACGCATGAAATTAGAAAGGCATTATTGCAAATCTCTCGCTTTATTTATCAGCAATTTGTCAGCAAGTGTGCTGTGTGCGGCACGGATTAAAGTGGCAGGCCGCCCCATGCCCCATGCCCCATGCCCCATGCCCGATGCTTGCCTCTCGTCTGTTTGCCTTTCTAATGCAATGCAATCGACACGGGCTGCATCTACGCACAAATTACTCGAGAAATCAAGCACTCCAGCAGCTGTACAACAGGGAGCGTACTGTACCTCTCCTCTCTCTGTCTCTGTCTCTGTGTCTGTCTCTGTGGGTCAAGTGCATTCGTTAATGAACTCTGAGGGTAACCAACGACCCACGCCACTGGAGCCGCCAGCTGATTTATGGCCCATGCTGAGCTGCCGCAGCATTAGAACTATTCAGAGGATAGTAGACTAAAGTGAAGTATAGCCCTTTTGCCAGTTAACAAATAACATCAACTTATTAAATAAAGTTTCAATCCAGGCGCACGGACAGACTGCTGCGGAGGAACACAGCTACCGTGCTGGGACGAGGACTGCGAATTGCGAACTGCAAGAGGGGGCACCAGAGAGCGAGGACGGGACAGTTGGAGGCTGCAGGCGCAGCCACAATAAATCATCACATCGAAGGAAGTCCAATGGTAGTGGCGGTGGTGGTGGCGGAGAGCCGTGTGCCAGTGTGGCAGTGTGGCAGGGGCAGACGTGTACGAGTAACTGCGGCCAAGTTATGTGGCTTCATTGTGGACAGAATGAACGCTTTTAAGCAGACAATTGCAGCCTGGGGCGCAGCCACAACAGGTAGGCGATGAAGGAAGGAGAAGCCACCGTCCATGGACTGAACACTCTCCCTCTCTTTCTCTCTCTCTCTCTCTCTGTCTCTCTATAGAGCAACGCACCCTCCCACTACCCCTGGCTATTGTTTGCTGCCGTTCCTCCAACTCGACTGGAGCTTGCCACAGATTTTCGTAGGCCGCACTGCGGACATAAATCATTTGGGCCTGCTGCTGCTGCTGCTGCCCCTGCTGGCTCCTGCTGCCGTTGCTGCTGTTGCTCCCCAGCGCCTCCTGCAACTTGCAACTTGCTGCAATATGAGTTAATTTCTAGAGCCCGGATCTGGTAAGGAGTTTTTGCGTATTTGTCAACTGCAAATTACAACGTTTTTTCTTATATATTTCCCACACAAAATGTGTGTCCAGCAATGGACACCACTCCGCTCCCCTCGATTGGACACTGGACACTGGACACCGGACTGTGTACGTATCGCTTGTGGGGCGACACAATATGTGGGTGGATGTGGCATATTTATGGCTCGACTGGCATTATAAATTTTCTATTAACCAGCCCCCTAGGCTCGTTGAGATTTGCATTGAATGCAGGCAGTGTCTGTGTCTGTCTGCCTCTCTGCCTGTCTGTCTGTTCTGTTGATAGCGCATTATCTGTTTAAGGCTTTAATTTTATTTTTGTGTTGCCAAAAATGTACGCAAAATAAGTGAGCAAGCAGCGCCTTCTATGGGTTATGGGAGTCACAGTAACAGTCAGAGACAGAGTCCCTGGCACAGCCACAGCTACGGGCTTGGGGTTCGCTTTTTGCATGCAATTGACTTGAATGTGGAAAAGTGGATGGGATGGCTGCTGGGTCCGATGCTGCATCTCATTGAACCCCGACAAATTGGTCATAATTTTAAGCAACTAATCCCAATAAACATGGCCCAAACATTGTGCCACTGACATTAAGCTGCCAGCTCTATGGGCGACTCGACTGGACGGGACTGGACCGTGGACGGTGGACGGTGGACGGTGGACTGAACTGCCTCTTCAGTGCTTTCGGGTACTGCCACGACTTACGGTCTCCAAGTAAGCCAAGTAAGTAGCCAACTAATAAAATGCCATTTATCTGTGCATCGATCAGCAGGCCAGTGAATCTGCCACTGCCACAAGCCGGGGCACAGGTGGATAGGGGATAGCGGAAGCGAAATGGCCATAAACTTGGCCATAGAAATCGAAGCGCAACGAATCGATTTGGCCAGCAGTCAAACATAAATTGCAGCTGAACAGGAGAGTTCAAATCGGAAAACGAAGCCCGGTGGGGATTTATGCGACGAGTCAATGACTAGACAAAAGGTTAATCAGATGGGTCATCAAAAGTGGCCAGAGGATCATAGATGCCACTTGCCACACCATGGACTGTGGCTTATTTGCTTCTGATGGGAGCAGCGAGAAAGTCAGACACATCCCACGCATGTTCAATCAGTGATTGGGTTCACACGCTGCCCCTTATCGATGCGTCCGTGTGTGTAATTTGGATGGGGCACGAACTTTAAACTCTCGCTGGGCAAACAGTAATTTCTCAAAAACCTCAACCTCATATTGCGTCACAATGCAAAACGCTTATCGCTGCAGTTAAATATCTTTTGGATGCGGTCTGGCAATGGCAAGGGCTCTGCCTATGGCTATGGCTCTCGTTCTCTGGCCCTTGACTGTGGCGCGGCGTTGGCTGTGTGTTATCTGTGGGTGTAATTTTCTCACGGTTCAGTTTTCAGTTGGACGCGCGGGATTGAATTGCGTTTGCACATTTCCCTTTTCGTGTTTTTATTGCTCGCTCGCCAGCTCGCCGTGCTCCTCGTTTTGCCTTTTCGCCAACACTTTTTTTTTGTGGGTGATTACGATTGCGAGAGAAGGAGGAAGAACGAGCCCAGAGCCCAGCGACCAGCGACCAGAGCTCTGAGCACCTGGATAAATATCTTATCTTCGCATTGGGTTTCCTACGTCTCCTTGCTGCTCTTTCTTGTTGTGGTGTTGTGGTGTAGTGGTATCGTGTCGTGTCGTATCGGATCGTATCATATCGCTTCTGCTTTCAGCGCCTCATATCACATATTAATTTGGGAGTAGCGTGGGAAAGCAAAGCTCGCAAATTTGTAGCCAATTCGCATGCGAAAGTGTTGTTCCTCCGCTATCGCCACTATCAAGTGCTTGGATTGTTTGCCCTGTGCCCAAGCAAACAATCGAGCACAGCAAATCTTACGCCACCGAGTAGGCGTTGGGAAATGTCAACAACGCCTCAAGGTCTCCAAATCTTAGTTGGGTCTTAGCCTCACGCTTTCAAATAGCTTTTAATGCAATCAATTTGAAATTTTAAACTAGAATTCAATTTTGCTTAATTTAAATTAAAGACCATCAAACTTTCTATTATATTATACTTATTAAACTTATTTATCATTTGTTTACTTACAGCAGGGTCTGCTGCCTGGCCCTGATGGAGTCGGCGTGGAGTCTGGTCATCTCCTGCAGTGGACCTATCTAGTAAGTGAATTCCTAGACTGTCTGTCCTCCCAATCTAAAATCTGTGTTTCCATTTGAGATAATTTTTGTTGTACAACAAATTGTTGCTTGTTGTACAAAAGAAGTTGTTGCACAACAACCACGTCGTTTGCTCAGTGGCGCCCCCGCCAACCGAATTTTCGGCTAGTTTTTGTTTTGCACAGTAGCGCCCCGCCAACGCAACGGCCAATGCTGGAACTAAAATAGTAAAGTTGGAGAATTCACCGCTCAGACATGGGGCGACACTGTGCTAGCTCTTGTTTGCACAGTGGCGCTCCACAGATAAACGGCCTCTTCTGAAACTAAAATATCGTAGTTAGGGAAATTAACGCTTATGGTGGGGCGCCACTGTGCAAGTTTTTTTGCACACCAAGAGGCCAGTTTTTTTATGCTTTCCCCTTTTCCGATCCTTTTCAAGGATCAAGGACATTTTTCCAAGAAATATATCTCGTTTTCTGTGCCTCGTTTTTTTATCTTCCTCGGCTTCCTGTGATTGTAAAGGACATTAAGTGAGTTTTAAATATTTTATTGTTTTTTTTTTGTTGTTTAATGCGATTTTCTGTTGCCCCAGATCCGTATCGAGGCGGGGCGGGGCATCGGGTCTTTGTGTATTGAATAATATGTCATGATTATTGAAATAGGGCGTAGATAATGTACAGTAAATAAATGATAAAACAAAATAATTGTCGAGCAGAAGCAACAAGATGCTCTGGCTCTAGCTGCCTCCGTCCATGTGTCTTGGCTTAGTTCGAACAGCGAGAGTAGGAACTAAATTACGACTAAGTTACGACTTGTTTGTCAAAATCACTACGATACAAAATCACTTCTAGAAGAATTCCTAAGTAAGCTTAATGCCACGTACGCGTGGTGCACATGGCATCGACTAAATCGAAATACTTTTGTTGTTTGTAATAGTTTCCTTTCGGTTTGTAGCTGGGGCTAATGGGGTGTGGGGAAGGGATAGGTGTAGGAGCGTGGAGACAGAGGAGTAGGACGAAAAAGGGGAGGAGAAGGATAACCACATGGGGAGAGATAGGAAGTTTAGAGTCCTAAAAAACTTTGGTTAGCCCTAAAATTAGTTAAAAACTTAACGTAGACATCCCTGTGCTTAGAAGAGTTTCATTTAAGACTAATTTAAATTAAATTAGCAATAAGCTGCGCAGCCCCCCTTGAAGGAGGAGGCACATGCCGCTCAATGGCCGCCACTGAACTCGGCATGGAATTCGATAATGCTGACGTATGTGCCCGCCACAAAGCCAATCACTCCGAACAGTATCAGGCCAGAGTTCTTCCACAACCGCCAGTTGAACCGTCCATAGCCTGGGTCCTCATGGTACACGGCCAGCTCGATCGTCGCCGGCACAATCATGCCCAGCGTACTGAGGCACACGGCACCAATAAGCGAGATGAAGGGCCCCAGATTGGGCAAGGCCACGGCAATGCCTCCGCACAGCACCTGCAAGAGATTAAATATAATGTTTAACGGGTGCTTAACAGACAGAATGAAGCAGCAAAGCTTACCACCAACGCCACACGCAGTCCGTACTCGCTGATGTTCTGGCGCTCTGGCCTGATCTTGTGCTCCAGCCCCTTCCAGAGGATCGAGACGGGCACATAGAACTGCAACGTGAAGGTGAAGAAGATGGCAATGGCAATCATCAGCTTCACGGACTGAGCCAATCTGCAGAGAAGGCAAAGACAAGAGCATGAGTTCGGCTGCTCCAAGGATTAAGTAGATTGGGTAACTCACTTGTCATCCAACGGCAGGTTAAGCGTGATGCTAGCCTCGGTGTCGGGTCCGTACTTGAGGAAACCGAAGAAGCCAACGAGCGTGTACAGGGCAATGACCAAGCCCATGCCAAAGTTCAGCACGGAGGGGCAGCCAATGAAGTGGGTGGGGTTCCTCATGTCGTTCTCCAGGGACATGACTACACCGATGCCCTCCAGGGCGAAGATCACCGTGCCGAAGAAGAGCGGCCACTCGGAGACGGCGACCAAGCCGGGACGCTCAGAGGGCGCCGGCAGATCGGTGAACATGTAGATAAACGTGATGACAATGCCCACGAACATCAGGATGTTGGCGATCATCGAGAAGGGTGTCAAAAACTTGAGGTTTCGCACGAGGCACATGAAGATCAGCGGCACAGTCACAATCATAATCCAGACGCGAACACTCAGCACCGTTTCCAGATAGACGCTCACCACCTGCTCCACGTTGGTGGCCACAAACACCAGGTAGATGCAGCAGCAACCAAGCAGATCCAGCACCAGAAAAGTGTTCACCATGAAGCGTATGAAGCGGGACCAGCGATTCAGCGCCGGCGGACCATCCAAGAAGGCCTGCTCGGCCACGTCTGCGAATCCCATCATCGGAATCTTGCGTCGCCGGCACAGTATGTGGGCGCACTTCACCAGCACGTGCACGCAGTAGGTGCAGAGTGTGCCCACGGCGAAGGTGGCCACCAAACCGAACCACAGACCCGCATGGGAGAAGGCCATGGGCATGGCCAGGATGCCCGAGCCCAGCGAGCCCTTCAGCAGGTGCACAAATGTCTCCAGATCGCTAAGGAAATAAGAAGAAAATTATAAATTGAAGAAATTAATCGAATTTGCATGGTATAGTGGAAAATCTAATAATTTTTGTGGAAATCACGTTTTTCGTTGGAAAAGCCCCCAGTCTTGCTGGCCTGACGTGGCGCCGTAAATGCATTTTGCACATTATTTATCTATGGCTGTTCCAAAAGCAAACAGAACAGATTCAAAGGCATGCGCCCAGACCGTTGGTCAATAATGATTTTTGTGGACGGATCCGAAAATAGCCAATGCATATAGCCTCCTCCCGTGCCGATCTCTCAGATCTCTTGCGATGCAAGGCCGTGCGGATGCGTTTTTCTCTTCTCAGGCGTTAGGCGTGAGAGGACTTGTGGGTGTGGAGGGTAGGGGCAGGTGATTAGAAGAGGCAGCGTTCCTCATTCCTCATTCC